AGAGGAAGGATAGTTGGTCAAGCAGATGGTGGAATAAGTCAACGACAAATTTCGCAGAATTTGGTAATCTTTTTCTCAGATGTGCTAAGTCCGTCTTTTCACAAATTTTGTGGAGGTCTTGATGAAAATACCTCCCCTTTCTATATTTTTCATGAATCGTGGAATAATTCAACAAAACACCCTTTTCTCCGCAAAAACAGAACTCGAATGTGTACCCAAGGAGATATGCAAACTGACTTGACCAAGATGGTCACATAATGGGTTCTACTGTTTAATTAATATACATGCGCACGTGGCGCGTTGGTGCTGGCCAAGGAGACAAAATTATCCGGGTATCCTGAATGCCGAGCCTTGGCTAAGTTATTCAGCTGATCTCCGTGGACATTACTGAATGAAATTATTTTAAAATTTTAGATTTTCATTTACTGAATATTTTACGTAGCACTCTAGGGAACATCTCTGTCTTAGTTCAACCACCTTTGTATTTACGTCAAAAAAGAAAATATCATTGTCAAATATGCGTATTATGCATTGTACAATGCGCCATCTACAGTTTGCTTGTTGCGACAACTTGCGGTAGTCTGATAAAGTGCAGCAGTGCAGTTGATCTAACTTGTTGGAAGATTACCTTCTTTCTGGTTTAATTGTGTGGCTCATAATCATCATGAATGCAAGATCAAGCGGCTACTTTAACAACTGTATGCAGGAAATAGATGCAAAGCTTCATGAAGAAAACAAATTCACTAGTCTGCTTGAAAAGCTTGAGCAAAAGACAGGTGTGAAGCGACTGTATATTTCACTAGGTAAGGTTTTTGATATTGGAGTTAGAGGCCAAACTCAGCTAGGCAACCCACTACCGAATACAATTGTATTGCCTTTATAGTTTAAATTGTGATGAGATGTAACAAGTAGCATATACATATTTTGACCTTTGGATTATATACACATAGTACACTTACAGTTATGTCGTTGCTAAAAGTAAAACTTTTAAAAATAAAAAATGCAGCTTGTGTGATGAAATATGAAAAATCATTTTTGGGTTTGCTTTCTGCAGTGTTTAATACGTTGATAAAAATCTTGTAAATAAGTTGATAACTCCCAAATACGAAAACTAACATGCAATTAATCTGAATAACGCTGAGTTTGTTATTTCATTTTCAGGGGTTGCTGTATTTCTGGCTCTGTATTTAGTTGTTGGATATGGCGCAGAGTTGATTTGTAACAGCGTCGGATTTGTTTATCCTGCGTATGCATCGTAAGTTATTACTTAAATATTAGTATTAGTACTCATAACAACTGCATGATGTAATTAATGATATTTTACATAAAATAGTACCTCTCCCCACCATGGGTCATGAAATTGTAAGAAAATATACCATTTCTTGACATTTATTAGACCTTGCAATGTGCTAACAGTAACAATGTTAAGCAACATGTACTTGAATTATTTTGTTAGAATAATTTTTATTTTCATTTGTCTAACATATAAAGTGATAGAAATAATTATGGTAACAAGTAATACACATATAGAACTAAAGTCACAAACAATGAGTAATGAGAACTAGATGGTGAATTTATCAATGGTACAAAATATTTTTATAAAAAATCAAAAAAAAACGAACTGGTGTTACAATATACTAATGTTTTTGTATGTGAGCTCTCTCTTTATGCAGAAAATTACACTTTGTTTTCTTGCTACCATACTGTTTGTTAATATTCAGTTGTTTCCAAATTGCATGTATTATGACTCACAACTGTGCTAACATATTTAGTTATCTTTTGACCTTCTCTGTTTTTACATAAGTCTACTCAACCTCAAGAATGTTCATGTCAAAACTTTGTGTAGATCAAGTTATTATTGTAAGATGTAATTTCACCATATTAACCGCATGCTTGGAATCACTATTTTTCTGGAAGATGAATCCTCATGTAATATATCATGTATCTAAGAGAGTGGTGTGATGAATCAGAATCTACTTGTAATTGTCAACAGTTAGGGTGACAACAATTTTGTGTAGATTAGTAACACTGCTGAGTGAGATGTAGCTGCAACTTTTACTGATCCCCCCCCCCACACCACCACCACCATGTTTCACCATAGATGCTATTTATTGACTTTTATACCAATCTCCTCCAATTTTAAATAAATTGTTATTGGTTGTTGCCAAACAATTACCCTGGATTCACCGACAAAGAGCATACATCTCTAGCTGTGCTAATTCCATTGTTTGTGGTTAATGCCCATTTAAGTCTATTGATTTAGTTATCTCTTTCCCCTCACCAATGGCACAGTGGTAAGCCTGAAGACTTATAATGCTAAAAACTGGATCTTGATACCAGTAGTGGACACAGCACAGATAGCCCATTGTGTGGTTTTGCGCTTAACTACTAACTAACAAACAAGTTATCTCTTCTCAACAGTATTTTTTGATCAACTACATACCCAGTGGTGCCACTTCATATTAATGTGTATAATACTGTTCTGGAGGTAACATTCACAGTTGTATTTAGATTAAGGTAATTGACAAGATCTGTACTCAGTTGTGTATCTCAGGAAGAACATACCATGAGATGTTTAATAATACATTTGAATAGTTTCATTTCTTACCTCAACCACTTCTATTAGTAGCTATGTCAGTTTCACATATCCTCTTCCAGGTCTTGCATATTGTTTGCAAGGGCATCATTGTGGAAGTGATAGAAGCAGCTGCCTCCCTCAAGCTCAAAAGGGGTCATCGAATTTTTGTGAGGCATTTCCTATCAGGTCAAATTAATACATATATGCAAGTTACACCAAAGCTAAAAGTCCCCAGCTTAATTTGAGAGGGATGCAAGGTCAGTTATTTGTCCCTGCCCACCCAAGCCTTTTGTGATATGACAATTCTGAAAGCCCCAGCTGAAACATTGAGTCATGCTGCAAATTTTTGAATAGAATTTCCTTGATCAGTTTTTTAATTTCAACATGTTTTTGTGTATATTTCTGTTCTGTGAACCATGAGTGAATTCATACTACTACTGTTGGGCATACTCTACTTTAATAAGGCTTTATACTGGTCTGGAACTTTCTGAGTGGTTGAATGACAATTACAGTGTAGGCTACGAATGCATAACTGTATGCTGGTGCAGTTCCTTTTTACACATTGTTTTCTCACTTTTTCCAAAATTATTTCTTGTGTTCTATATAAAATTAAAAAACTTTTAATTCATCTGGATGTTGATTCAGTTATCAAAATATAATACTGTACTCCATGTAGAAAGCTTTTTTGCATGACTTTTAGGTTTAGTTTAAAAAATAATATTTTGGGAATAACAACACTACCTAATCGTAGATCAGTAATAGTTCTGAAATTAAAAAGTCAGCATAAAACAAAAAATTTGAATTAGATAACATAAAATTTAAGGACAAAAAAGGACCTGTTGGTTTTCTAGGCTGTCCCATTCACTAAACTAAACTATAAAATAAAAATAAGACCTCAAATCTAGACCTTATTATTCACATGTTTACTAAGGCTTTCTGTAAACTCATTTATATTTACTGTATCTACCACATTTAAAGGCAACCCTGTTAAAAAAAATAGAACTGTTTAGCTGAAGATTACTCCTACCCTGGGAAGATTGATATTTGTATCCTCTATTTTTACCATTCTCAGTATTAAGTACAAAAAAAAAGATACATTAACACAGGCCTTGACAAATCCAAGGCACTGTGTTGCTGTGGCAACTAAAAATTTTATTGTGGTGCCTAATATTTTCTCCCATTTTATTCATGCATAGGGATGTGCTAAATGGAACTCAAGTCTTGAACAGTTCTGAACTCTTGGAAGTCCAGAACTATTTTCCTGTTCTTTGAGTCCAAAATCAAACTGTTTATAAGATTTTAATGGTGGATTCAGCACTTCATATTTTTTCAGGAATGAAGCACTGCTGTTGCACATGTTACTAATTTTGCACTATTTTGATTTTATTCTTTCTCTCAATTCAACAAATGAATGTGTATGTTTAGACTCAAACAGGACCAAAGGCAGTTAGTTCAGACAATACTATCAAGTGGTTGTTGATATCATGATTATCAGCATGCACTCATTGCTGTGAAAGTAATTAAATATATCCCCCATTTCCTGGTAAGAACAGTAGTGAAGTTAGGTTAGGCACACCAAAAGGTCTTTGCTTATCATTGTACAGTGTTGTAGTGATGAATACATTAGACCTATTCTGAAATAACCTACTTGGCCTATTGATATTGCAGTGATTATTTTTATTTTACTTTCATTCATTGCAACAATCCACCTAAGCTAAAGTTATTTAGTCTACTATTTTAATGATTGCACATATTGAAGTTTAACTTTCATGTATGTTATATAATAAATTTTAATAATGAACCCTTTGGTTTTTAGTGGGGCTGACTCCTAGATCTGAAAATATTTGTAGAGGCCTGCATTAACACTATTAATTCCTTTAACAATCTTAAACACCTTATTCAGTTTCCCTGATTCCCCTCTTAATTCTTTTTTTTTCAAAAGAAAACGATTTCAGAGATCTTAAATTGTCTTCATATGACAACCTTTCCATCCTAAGGATCATCCTTTCAAACAATTCATTGCTTCTCCTAAGGTAAGCAAAACAAGACTGAGCATAATAGTACAGCTGAGGCCTAACCAGTGACTATACAATGAAGTTATAACCTCCTCATACTTCTATTTCTATAGATATAACCTGAAATCTTATTTTCCCTACTATTGTCAACAGCACATTGATTGGATGGCTTAAGATCCTGATCAGTCAGAATGTCAAGATCCTTTCTTTCCATAACACTGTTAATAAGAGTCAATTAACTGATTGCAAAAAAAGGGAATAAGATTATCATTTTGTATCCAACAAATAACTGGTGTTTTACTTAAAATATTTGGGAAGATATTTTTCTCTTTAAGGATAAAATTATTAAATCTGAAATTTTTTTTTCTTTAGTCTTAATAATTTTCATGATATTAGGAAAACACGCAGGTTCAAAAAGTTAATTTACCACAAAAATACAAAACCCTATATGCTTTCAAAAGGTGGATCTTCTGTCATCAAGGGCAAACTGATAAAGAAAGGTCACCTTTTGAAATTCCTCAGGTTGTAAGGTTTTTAGTCTTAATAACATAAAATAAATTGAGGCAACAACAGTTGAATTTTTAATATTTCAATACATGCTATTCAGAACAAACCAACATATAATCAAAATTGATTTTGTATCATGAAATAAAACTAACACTCAAGAATATTTGTAACTAGCATAACAGCCCCTCAAAAATGACAGGGGGGAGGAACTACCACCCCCTCCATATAGTATACCCTAACCTCACATTTCATAGCTAACTGAAATAAATAAATTTTGCAAAATTAAGCGTGACCAACAAAGAGGCAGAAAAATGCCGTGAGCCAAACAAAATTAAGATCATTCATCAAATGAATTTGTGACATATTCTTAGAATAATTATTGGTAAAGATAAGTTAGATTAACAACTTCTAATATATAGAAAAGCCAGTGAATTTTGGTAACACTATATTCCATCAATGGCTTTTATGTCATGTCACTTAGCAACAAAAGTATAACCTAATATTGTTGTTAGTCTGTGTACTGCAAGTATAAAATGAAATGTATAGATAACAAAACTGGAAAAATATTTGTTGATTTCTTAATTTAGAGTCTCTGTTGATTAAAAGAGTGACACACACTGGCTTTTATATAGGTTAGATGAAATTATGCCATTAGATGTGCATTAATTATTTTTGTACAAAATAAAACATCATAAAAGTAGGCATTTAGTTGCAATATGTTTGATAAACTTCTGTTCCTTTTGTGTTAAAACAGGACTTCATATAAATGTTGTTTTTAACATAGTCATTAAAGATGTACGTGTATGTACAAAGACACAATACATATAATGTATCTTATTCTTCAGTATCCACGCCATTGAGACTCATGATAAAGAAGATGACACAAAGTGGCTAACCTACTGGGTGGTTTTTGCAGCCTTCAGCATTCTTGAGTTCTTCTCTGATATTGTACTTGACTGGTTTCCATTCTATTGGCTCTTGAAGGTAAGCCTAATGTTTGTTTATTTTTCTTCTACAGTCAAATAAAAGTTATAAACTAAAACTGTTACAAGTAATTTAGAAATTCTTAATTTGATGGATTAAAATGAGTGCAGTTGAAAAAGTCATTAAATTGTTTTTTACATAATTTTTGTAATGAACAATTTAATTAACTAGTTGACTTCTGCATTGGTTCAACAGTGGTCAAGAAAGTTATCTAACACTACTAATTCATGTGCATATCTTACTTCAAGATAGACATGCAGTTAATGCTTTGGCTTGCTGTTGGTTTAATCCTACCACTCCTTGACATCACATTGTGATGTATCTCATGAATTCTCATTTCTTAAACATCTATCAAAGCTAGTCAGCATGCTCAGAACATATCAGTGTCACCACTAACGAAGATGCATTATTCTTTCTTTTACACCATTTTTATTTTGTTTCATTACCTTTCTAAATAACTTGTACTTTTTAATACAAAGTTTACTTTGTATCATATATCTTCAAGTGTTGTGTTGTTTTTTTTTGTTGTTATTGTTTTTCAGAACTTGTGCATAGTGGAGGCATTTAAATATTTTGGTAATAAAGATAGAAAAAAATTACCTTTACTCTCCAGTTAATAATAGAACAACTTTTTATTTCAGCTAATGTTTTGCCATTGCAGCTTCATATGGGCTAGTGGTACAAGAACTTGTGTCTATGCAGTTCTTTTACTACTAACCTTGATGAAGCCAGTGGCAAAACATTGGCTGAAATAAAGTTTCTAATTTTTTATGAATAGTTATCCTTTCTTTCACATGAATTTATTTTTGTAAAAATAGTCATGATTGTCCTGTACAGATGACATTTTACTTTTTCTTTTTTTTTAACTTTGTGCATTGTCATTTTTAGTTAATCTTAATAATAGTATATGTTTCATCATTATTGTTATTGATGTTAGTGTTAGGACGTCAGTGTTTAATTAAGCTTATTTAACTATGGGTTGCTGTCTCCTTCCTTTCCAACCTACAATGAAATTGGGGATTTTTTATTGTTTTACTTATGACCATTTTCAATTCTTGATTTTGTTTAAAAAACTTTTCACCTCAGTTTTTCATATTCTTTCAAGGCTTTTAACTTGTAATGATGTAATCTGGTGATATGCATTCCTTTTACCTGCAGTGGTTTATTTTTTCTTTACCTGATATGGATAATTTTTGTTTCTTTACCTGTGTATTTTAGATTATCCTGGAACAGGTTTTCTGTTGACTTAATCAACTGTAGAATTTAGGGTGGGTCCATTTTGACATTATTGACTTTATGAACTAATTACAATGTATGCACCAGCTTCCTCTGAAATCCACCACTGTTTATTACAGTATCTGATAATATATATATGTATATATCAGAAAAGAAAATTGGAGAAATACCATCAATATTGCAGTTAATCCCACTACTTATGGCTGTGGTGGCCTATGTATTTTACTAAGAAAATTGGTTATTTCACCTTTATTTTTTGGTCAGTGTTTTAACAGGCAGGAACATAAAATTATTCAATATGATGGAACATGTAGACCCCACCAGGAGTGTTCAGTATTTAAAGAACAAATTGGTATTTTGAGTGTAGTGTTTTTTTTTGTTGTTGTTGTTTTTTCAGAAATTCCTAATATACTTGTTTTCTATTGTTAATTTCTTTGAAGTCTTGTGTTTTTATGCACACATGCAGCTGGGGATTCCATTTATATCTCTTGTTTTTAAGATATTTGTATAAATTCATTGTTACATTTTGAATTCCATTTAATCTATAGGGTTATTTTTTCTTTATTTTCAGCCCCTTGTGATTAAAAATTATCAGAATCTTGTGAATTTGTAGCTAGTAATGATAGGAGTTAGCCTTAACTTTTACTCTTTTTGTTCTAGTGATGAGTCTGTCATCAAAAAATAATTAATACATTTCTGTTTATTTAGCAAAAATAAAATTCTTTAAAAATCCAATTTCTAAGAGTTCTAAAAGTTTCATTTTTTTTATTAAACTGACAGACAATACAAGCATTGTTACAATAAGAACATTTTTTCTTCAGTGTGTCTTCTTGATGTGGTGTTTTGCTCCAATGGGTTCCAATGGATCGCACTTCATCTACTATAGTTTCATCAGACCCATATTCCTGAAGCACAAAGAAAAGATTGACAATTACATTGACTCTGCTGTCTCCAAGGCTGCTGGTTTGGCTGATGCTACACTGAAGAAAGGTTAATAGTTTGTAGATGTAATATGTATTTACTACTTAGTTTTTTTAGCTACAGATGTGCCCCCCTTACCCCCATGACTCAGTGGTAAGTCTGAAGGCTAATAATGCTAACAATTAGGGTTCTACCTTTAACCTTGTTTGCATTTCCACTTTTTTTAACACTGGAAATAGTGTTATTTTTGTGCCATTTTAGTTGCAAAACAGGTGTATACTATACTTTTAACTTTTATGTCCTATATCATTTGTCTGAACCTCATAACACTATTGAAACTTTATTATTATTCTATAACAAGCAGGATTAGCATATTCATAAGTTTTACATAACAATAAAATCAAATTAAGTTATGTGCTTGATCATAGTAATTATATCCTTTGTTTTTAGGGATAAAAAGTACTTTATATGGTAAAAGTTATCTTTTAATTTTAGGCAAAAACAGATATCTGATATTAGTTAAAAAGTGACTTAGTTTTATTTCCCTTTGATAGAACTGAGCAAGTAGTAGATAAATTAAACTGGTTCTAGTGTTTATTTTAAATAATGACTGAGATAATACTGTGAAAAATCATTTTCTTATTTTTTAAGAATTCCTTAACATCCTGGTTGGAATGAGTGAAAAATGAAGTTTTCACTTTATACTTGAAAACTCCCATTAAGCCTAATAAGAGTAAAAAAAAGGGCCTGTGAAAAAGTGATATTAATTTGGAGAAACGTTTATTATGATATTATATCAAAGTGATATAAGATATTAATAATGTTTGATTATGAACTGTTACACAAAACTCGTTAGTTTATTACTTGTTCTTTGAAATTTTAATTAAATTATAGAATGTTGAAATTACTTTCCTAGTTTAAAAAAATCATAAAGAAATGTGCAAGTAAAATCATTTTAAGTTGTTCAATTCAGAGTTAAATGTTCAGTGTTAACATCATACTCTCTTTTTCAGTGGAGATGAATAATGCATTCCACATATTATCAGTTCTTCTGCTGTGCTTAATTGCATGTCATATTTATTCTAGAAGTTTAAAAAGTACTACTGTCACTAGTATAAAAAAAAAAAGTAGGGTTAAGTGTTGACATTGACGAACTTCGATGATTTTGTAACAGCTCTTGTCACATATTTAGTAAGTCAGAAAATTGTGATAGTTATGGGACATTCTCTGCTTTTTGCATGTTATTATTTTATGTTATTTGGTGCATTATATAATTAAATAAAAATTATTTAATGTACTACTGCCATTAGTATAAAAAAAGTGATAGTTGACAGCAAATAAAGTCCCAGGTAAGTACTTTATTTCTTATTTTTCTTGTATATTCTTTATAAAAGTAACTAAAATGTAAAAATAGGAAGTTCTGGGTTATTAAGATTAGATTTGTTAAAATAAATAATAATAATAATATAAAATTTTTTACAAGGCATGCATACAAGCAGCTTGGAGTAGCTTCTGGGTAATGTAATTCAATAGTGTAATGTAAGCCACATGTTCCCCAAGTTATTTACAACTTATAATGGCATGAATAGCACTAGTAGTTAGACACAGTTCAAATGGCAGTAAAATTTAAGCATAAATATATGTATACTGTTACAACTTTAAAGCTACTTAGAATAAACAAATGTAGTTTCATGTTACAATTTGAAGTCGTTTTAGGAAGGAAAAAAGGATAATTTGGAATTATTTTGATTGTTTCTTTTTCTGATGGTTATGAAGTCAGTCAAATTGATAAACTTTGTATTTAGTGCAGAGAAAATAATGATAAAATATAAAGTTTTACTGAAAAAAAAAGTTTGAAATGTATTTAGGAGATTTTAGAGATTACGCAAATGACACTTTAGATTTTTAAGATGAAGAAAAGTGTTTTTTAATCTTAACATGAAAATCATTTTGCACTCAGACTGGTCAAAAAAAGACTCGTTATCTTCATGGACAAATTTTTGGTCAAAATACTTCATTAAAAAATTTATTTTGTGTACAAAGACTTGTAATATGTACTAAAAGTTAAAGTAATAACACAATATACAAGTAAAAATAGTCACATGATCATTCCTTGGGACCAAGCCCGTATTGTGAGAGTTTGTAACTAACTCAATGCTAAATGTGCAGTGCATGTTGGCAAGGTTACGGGTGCCGACCAAGCGCATTCCAAACATCATACACAGACTACTACAAGGTGTATGAAATGAACATCAGCTTTGGCTTTTGTATATAAAACTGAAATGTTATGGTATTTTTACTATATTGTTGGAGGTCTAGAAGACAACATACAAGAGAGAGGAATGATTCAGACATTATGTTAAGCAAAGAGGAATGTGATTCACAACTGGGGTTGTTTTGGTTCACAAATTGTGATGTGAACCCAAATATTTTGTCCCCTACTTGAAGCAACAAACCTTGTCAACAGCTGCAGAAATGACATCCTTAAGTAGAACTGGATAATTAACTCAATTAGCTGTGAGCACTGATTAGTGTCATGTAAAATAACTAATCAAAATTGTTGTTAAATCAATTAATGTCACAAAACTCATCAACTAATTTAAATTAATGTTTTCAATTATTCCAACTATCCAAGATGTCAAAATATTGTCATTATGATTACTCCTGATTATCGATTAATTCAAGATAGTTCAGTTTAATGAGTTAGTCACAACTCACAAAAATTATAAGTTAATCAAAATTAGTGCTTCCAGTTATTACTATTTTCAGTTATTCCAAATATCCAAGTCTCATATGAGAATAATTGATTAGTTGAATGTAATTAATTAATGAGCCTGATAATTAATTGATTACCAATTTACACTAAATACCCAGTTCCGTCCTTAGGCTGGTGCACTATGTATAAGCTCTAAGCAGGAATTCCAATGTCACAGGTTAGGCAGCATCTGATATAGTAGCAAAACAACCTATTGTCACTACTTAAAGAAATCTGGATGATATATGCAGGATCCTGCAAGAGTATGGAGTAAGAAGTACCACAGTTTGGAAAGTACAGAGTACTTTTGCCATATCAGCTTTCCTGCAACACTTTTGGGATTACTTATGAGAAAACCTAGACCAGGGTGTATTCATAATTTGCCTAAAGCTTAAATGAGTCTAAAATTCTAAATATTAGATTATGCACTTTTACCTTTGATCATTAGTAGTACTTTCTGGTATGAATGTATGTACCAATTTCTGATGTTCATATTATTAAGGAAGATATCTATAGATTCATAAAAAAGGAAGAATACATCTAATGGCTAAATAAAATGGAAAGCACACAAATACATTGGATTTAAAAAAATGATAAACAGAAGCAGAATTATGAAGGAATAATTAAAACTGAAAAAGATGCATACAGATATAAAGAAATCAGAATTATAAATTTAATTTTCAGTTATGAGGGAAGAATATGGTAACTGTTTTAACTTTTGGTTGTCTTATGTTTTTAGTTCTGATTACTTGCCTTGGAAAAATGAATACTCTGATTTTTAAATGCTAAATGTCTCCACCCGCTAATAAGTTGTTCCCCTTAATTTTTAATTCTGTTAAATATTTGTTAGATCTTTCTGATGATTAAGTGGAATTTGTCATTTTGCAGTGCCCGGCATGGCCAGGTAGTTAGGGTGCTCGACTCGCAATCTGCAGGTCACTGGTTCGAATCTTCATCACATCAAACATGCTTGCCCTTTCAGCCGTGGGGGCATTATAATGTGATGGTGAATCCCACTATTCGTTGGTAAAAGAGTAGCCCAAGAGTTGGCGGTGGGTGGTGATGACTAGTTGCATTCCCTCTAGTCTAACACTGCTAAATTAGGGACGGCTAGTGCAAATAGCCCTTGTGTAGCTTTGCGCGAAATTCATAACAAACAAACATTTTGCAGCCTTGCGCAGTAGGTACTTGGTAAACAGTAGTCATACATTCAGTATTGTTGCTTTCAGTGTTTTGTAATGATTAGGTTGGATAGTAATAGTGCTTAAAAACAAAAATATATTGCTGGCAAAAAGTGAAAAAATATTTTCTGATTATAATTTTAAGTGTTGAAACTTAGACATTATGTGTTATATATGTTCCCTTATCACTCTGTTTTATAGTATTGAGTTTATAACCAATAGAATATAGTGCACTTAAGCATCAAAATTATTTACCTCAAAAAATTTTAGTTAATCAAACAAAAAAAAGAGCTAAATTTTCTTCAGCTTTTCTTTCATTAAGTTATTTAATTAATGTATTGTTTTGACCTGAAATAGGATAAACCTGTCTAGATGATCAAAAGTTGTTGACTGTGAAATTGACTTTTTATATTCTTTCATTTAGCCTTAGACTATGTCATATAAATAAATGTTTTAATTGTGACAATATTTTATTGTTCCAGCTACAAAAGTTGCTGCAGAAGATATGCTGAAGGAAGAGTGAATCTCAATATTCCTTATATTAAGATTTTTATTGTTTTATATTTAACACATTTGTGTTTGTTCAGGATCTGTCTGTACTGAATGTATTCTATTCAAATGGTGTTTTTATTTATAAACAGTAACTAATTTATTGAAAGTTTTTCTGATTAGAAAATTTGCTATGAAGATACCTTTTCTTCAGTGATGCCAATTAGATATAAAAAAATTCAGTTAAGTCAAAAATATATTTATTCAAAAGATAGATTATACCTATATTTACTTACTTATTGCTAATAAACCTCCAACATTTCTCTATCGTGTATTTTTGAATAGAGCAAAATTTTGAAAGCTTGCATATATGTTGTTTTGTCCATAAAATACACTTTGCTTTTAGATATTTTTCTTCATGGTTTATAACAATGACTTTAGAACCAGTTGCTGGTCTTTTCTTTGATATTTAGAAGTAATTTAATGTGAAAATCTTCCATTTTTAACAAGGTTTAATATAAGATATTGATCTGAAAATGCACATTTTTATGCACTTCTTAATTGTGTTTACAAGATAATTCACTAGGGATGTGACATAACTGTAATTATTGTTATAATGTTTGCTTTAGTTTTAAATAGCCTGATTATTTTCTATCTAAATATTTAAATTTTCAATAAACTTTACAAATTTTATTCAATTTGAAGTCATCAGGGAAATTTGAATAAAATTGTTTTTCATAGTAACCATAGAGATATTATTGTATGTTTACAAAATGAAATGTTATTGTATTTAGAATAGTTATAAAATCTGTTGCTTGCTATACCTAAACTTTCCTGTAGGTTAGTTAAATAAATGTAGAATATGAAACTAAGTATCTAAAGCTTTCTAATAACTTTGAACTTGAAGAGTTAGCTTTTGATGGTGAAGAAATAGATTGTCTAAGTTTTTGATTGTGGATAATTGTAAGAAAGATAATGTTAAAAGTTAATATATTCCCCAAATTATGGAGGCATATGAAATACATCTCATTGTTATGGAGTTATTAAATTTCTTTTTTTTTTCTGGGGCCACCCATATTTCTTTTGCATTTTTCATATTAGAATGAATTTCAAGAAACCTTAAGGGTACACTCGTTTAAGTGAGTGACACTGTCTGGTTGATAGTAGTTTGAAGATTGTTTGTGTATTATGGAATAAAACAAAGGAAAATATGACATTTTGCTACAATGTTGTACTGTGTAGGTGTTATGAAATCAAAAACTAATGCATAGAAACATTAGTTTTTCACTATAAGAAGATTTTGTCATTTTCTTTATTATGCAAATCTATCAGTTTTTCTACAATGTTATTTCAGAGGGGCACAAAAGTACTAAATCTGAAAGCAGAAAAAAAGTTTGAATTCAGTGAAGATTGGTTGTCATAACGGGATACATATAACTTGTACACCTGCAAAATATATTGGAAGTGTATAGGAAAAATGAACAAGACTCTTGCTTTACAATAGCTGTCTTAACCATAGATCTTCAGCAGATTTCTAACTAACAGTTGGTGGTGTACTTTTTAGTAATGATTTCTTCAGTGACTTGTGTTTTAGTGTAACATTTTAATGTTGTTATATTACATTTAACTATCAACTGACATTTCAAGTTAAATATACTCAAATTAAACCTTTTCTTTGCATTTACTTTGAACAATACACTATTCAGTCGATTATGACTCCACATAACACTATAGCTCGACCTAGTAAAGTAATATTGAAGAGTGACTGAGCACTATTTAATGACTACAGCATTAACATTACTATCTAGTGATTCATTACAAAACATGTAAAAAATACCCACTATAATACAAAAATCTCAAATAAGTACATAAAAAAACTATTACAAAGCTTAGATGTGTATTTCTGTTATTAAACTTAAATATTAATAGGTTTGGTATTTAAGTGTTTTCAGATGTAAACTGTAATAAGCGATGTTATTTGGATGAAAGTAAACTTTATTTTGAACTTAGCACAACTCCCTTTGTTGTTAGAATAAGATTTAATTTTATCTTAAAATATTCTTCTTGATAATGCATAATAT